TAATATCCACCTATTAGCAAAAAAATTAGTTATCTTAATTAACTTTTCCAGTGGCGTACAGCATTGGTACGAATGCCGCGTCTCTCCTAAATTTTACGTCACTATCCAAAAAGTTATTTGAACATAAAATTTTAAATTTTTTGATGTTTTTTAAATAAATAATGTACTCTGTTTAGAAATTTAATAAAAAAAAAACGAAATTTAAAAATTTCAGAATTTCCAAATATATGCGAATATCTTAAAAACTAACTCAACTTTTTTTGAAAAACATCGAAAGTTTTTTTTGGAGAGTGGACTAAAATTTAGAAGGGAAAAAGGTGAAGTACGCCACTGGCAAAGCTTGTTTAAATTATTATTTTGCTGATAGGTGTATTTTATTTCACCAATAACGTTTGACGAATATAGTAAAATTAAACTGAGTAATAAAAAAATTGTAGCTGTTCATAATTTTTGATTTTCAACTTTAAAACCCTGTTTTTCGGAAACGAGTAATGTTTTACCTACGGATGTTTCGTTTAATCGGCTTATTTCTAATCAATTAATCTTCAGTTGCTTGCATTCTTAATGATATACCCTGTATATACCGAAAGGTCTTGCAGCCAAAGAACCAAATAAAAAAAAGAAAAATGTAATAAAAAAGTGTTTTATTACCTTATTTATCCACAATACTTTATTTAGATCTGCATCAGTATATGTTAGTTTTCAAAAAATTTAATCTCATTTATATGTAGTTTGTTTACGTAAGTTGGCGGCATCGGAAAACTTTTTTAAGAATTTAAAAAAAAAAACTTATTTTTCATAAACAATTGAATGGTCTATTAATTTTAGAAAAAAAGTTACTTTACATAAAAAGTTATGCATGGTCTAAAACCTTAAATTTAAATCTGATATCAAATTTTATCAGTCGTATACAGGGTTTGTCGAAAATAAAGGTATTTTTTCTTGAGCAAAATCATATTTTTTGACAAAATTTGATACTGATACAATTTGATATCGCGTGGTTGCATTTTCTGTTACACCATGCATACATTTTTATGAAGAATAACTTTTTTCGTAAAACGAATATTAAAAAAAGTTTTCTATATGCTGTCAACTTACATAGACATACTACTGTGTGTATGCAACTTATGACATATTGCTGAGATAATGTTTTTTTAAGAAAAAAGAAATCATAAAATTTTACTTCATTTATAGGGTCGTAAGTTTTTATTTTCACTTTTTTTATTAATTTAGAATTACAGTACTATTTTCAATTATTAATAAAAATTACGTGTTCATTTTAGATTAATCGAGAAGAAAAATAAGCATTTTTGAAATATTAATAACTAAATACAAATCAAACAACAAATGAACAAAAAAGCATTTAAAACACGTTGACTGCCGAAGCAAACGTTGTGGTTGGGTCTGCTGAGCCGAAGTAGTTTTTCTAAAAATTTAAGTCTGTTTTTACGTTTTAAGAGTCAAGTAGTTTAAGTAAATACTTAGGTAAACTACAATATCTAATGGAAGCGTAAATAAAATATATACACGCGGCGCGGGATTAAATTATTACAAACATATGCGGCGTGCATATATTGTGAATAATATAATCAGGTTGTCCCATTAGTGCGTAATTGTTCAATATTTCAATTTGTGTTATAGACACGTAAACAATTTCTAAATAAAAGTTAAATGAATTTCAAAAATAGGCATTTCAAAGATATTTTTAGACATACAGTGTTTTGCGTTTTTATCTGACAAATAAAAAGGTATATTTTTTTAATAGAAAACCATGTATTTTACTTCAGTTTTAAAATGCTTTGGTAATATTTTATTTAGCCCTAGAATTTTATCAACAAATATTGCAGGGTTGCCAATAAATTAATTTTTTTTATGAAATTAGAGAATGATGTAGGTAGATCCCAAATTAAATTATAATTTAGGTAAGTTTACAATGATTTCAATTTTTTTTTTAATAGTAATAAGATACTAAGCTAACGAATAGTGGTGATAGAACTGGATTATTTTATACAGAGTGTTTTGAAAAGCAAGTCTTAAATATGACTAATTCCAAGTTAAATTTATTAAATTTTTTCAAATGCCACACCCTTTATATTATTTAAACATACTATTCATCATAAATTTATATATCCAACGATACCAATATGTTAGTCAATAACACATATACAGGGTGTCCTATGAGTGCGTAATTGATGGATAACAGTTTTATAATAGGAAAGATTTATTACCATATGTAACAATTATTCATAAATATGCAGGGTGATCCATAAACGATTGTCTGACCAAACCTATACATTTTTAAAGCAGTACACCCTGCAGTTAGTTATACATATTTGATTGTTTTTATATCGTCGAACAATAATTTCAATTTCATTCATTTGCCATGTTGTATATAGAATGTGTCAAAATGCGAGGTTATTTTTTAAATGTGATACCCTTTATGTTATACCACCAATTAATTAATACAGTGAATTCCATTGAAAAAATTAAAAAAATCGTAACCTCGCGTTTTGATACACCCTATATATAACATAGCAAATAAATCAAGTCAATTAAAATTATTTGACGACCTGAAAACAATCAAATATGTGTAACTACCTGCAGGGGTTTTGCTTCAAAAATGTATAGGTTTGGTCAACACCTCGTTTATGGACCACTCTGTGTATTTAGGAATAATTTTCATACAACTTTTATATATTTTTTTCTTATTTTCAATAATAAAACAGCTATCGATCAATTACGCACTGAGGGGACACTCTGTATATGTGTTATTCTCTAACATGTTGGTATTGTTGGATAGGCAAATTTATAAGGAATTGTATGCTTAAATATTATACTGAGTGTTGCCTTTGAAAAATTGAACTTAAAAGTAGCCATATATAAGACATGTTTCAAAACACTCGGTATAAAAGAATTTAGCACTATCACAACTTAATGTGCTATAAGTCTGTATATTAAACAATTTTGAAATTAATGTAATCTCAACCAAATTATGATAATTTAATTTGGGGTCTGCATCATTCTCTAATTTCATAAAAATTTAATTGCTTGGCAAACCTGTAATATTTTTTTAAAACTTGAATACAGTATTACCAAACCATTCTAAAACTGAAATAAAATACATGTTGTTCTATTTAAAAAATATGCCAGGTAAAAATGTAACACCCTGTATATCCAAAAATATTTTTAAAATATTTATTTTCCGAATCCATATAACTTTTCTTTGAAACATGTTTGCGTGTCTTTAACACAAATTAAAATATTGAACAGTTACGCACTAATAGGACATAGACAAGGGTATATACACATAGCAGTCAACGTGTTAACTCGGAAATAAAGTTCCTTATAAAGATAAAAAAAACATTCAGAAGAAGAAAGCAAGTCCCGCAAATATTACGTGCATAACATACAGTGATGCCAGGTCATTCGGATTCAAATTACATCGGAATGCAATAAAGGTCCTTTCCTGAATTTCACCCACTTTAAAATTAAATTCGTCCGAGAAAGAATTGTGAAATTATCGTATAAACTGCATAATTATTATACATCTGGCAACGTAGCCAATACTTGTTCATACGCAAGGAAGATAAATCGATTATTTTGTGGAACGAAGCGAGACAAATATATATGAAAATCACGAAACAATAAAAGACGGCATACAGCTGTATTATTGTTTCAACAATTGGTACCTTTAAACAATCATTCACCTAATAAAACCATCTCTTAAACAAAGTGGCTACATTGTTTTTATAGTGACATCTTCTTAAAAATAGATGAACTACATAATTACAGGTATTCATAGAACATCTCTAATTTGACAAATAAATTTATCAAATATTTGTTAATCGTTTTTCCAGTTAGATTTGAAAAATACCCAATAAAATTTAGAAATATTTCGGCGGGATACTTGAAAAAATATGTAGAATGAAATCTCCTGGTTTTTAAAATCACTTTTTATTATTTTTTTTTTTTTAATTCAGTGTATATACAGGACAATTCAAAAATAGATTTCATTCTCCAAAACTTATACTTTAAGCTGGTAGAAGATTCATTTTATTACATTTAGAGGGATTTAAATGCAATCGGAAATGGTGAACCCTTGCTTCTTATATGAAAAATACAGTGATACTGATGCCTTAATCAATGTAATCAAAACATAGTTGTTGGTTGTACCAAGATGTTATAATAATGTTCGGTTAAAAAATGGTCTGAACATAGACATGCTCAAATTGAGCACTTTACACTAAGCCAGTTTAGTTGTGAGATCAGTAGAAAATCTGAAATAAGGAAAAAAAAAGATTTAAAAAATTATTGGCAAATAAATCTGTACAATACAAAAAGATATTTAATCCATTTTACAATACACAAAAAAATCATTATATTGCCAAGGAAACAATTATTTTCTGTCCAACACAACCAATTGCGGTGATGCTCAAATTAAGAACTTTCTACAAACATGTTTTCTTATTAAATTGCCCATTTTCCATTTTAAGTTACGTTTATGGAATATAGAATACTTACTTATAAAACGTCAACCGGGATACTTTTAAGAAGTTTTTATTGCAAACTCGGCATGATTAGTATTTATTTTAAAATAAAAACCTACTTTAAAAGTTTATAAAAGAGGAACCTCGTCCAAATTGTCTTCGGTAGCCACAAAAACCTATTTTTTTGAAAACGAAAACAAGTCGTCAAATGAAATGTCATTTATCACAAATACAAGCGTTATTTAAATTCGCCAATCATTAATCGTCGTGTACCTAACTCGCCAATCATAAATCGTCGTGTACCTAACTCGCCAAACATAAAGCGTCGTGTTCCTAACACCGAAGGGATTACCCTCCTCAGTACATAACAAACCCATTTGGATAACGCCTCTAGTCTTATATGCTCTAAGGTTATCCCCCTCAGTAGATAACAAAACCATTTGAGTAACACCTCCAGTCTTATGTGCTCTAAGGTTATAATAAAGTTTTAATTTCATTTGTTATTTTATTTAGCTTACCAGAAACCTTCGGTTTGACGTCAGTCCTTTGAAATTTGGAATAGACATACATGCCGCAGATATTCAAAGGGGCAGAGATCATGCACTCGCATCTTACAGTGCCATAAGATCAAAGTGTGGACTCAAAAAAGCGACTACTTTTGATGACTTTCTTGATGCAATGACGAAAGAGGTAAGATATATAATAATAATATGAGTATATGGTAGCTCAAAAGTGTGGAAATATATCAATCATAGAGAATTTTTGGAACAAAACGAGTTCTGAAATATTTTAATTAGATAACATAAGCCAACAGACATTTTGGTGCCTGTGATTTTTTAACAGTTTCTTAATAGGTTTTGGTCGAAAAATACAAAATAGCCATCACATCTATTTTTTAAGATAGGAAATATTTACAAATATTTTAACTTGTATATATTTTATGTTAAAAATTATAACTATTACCATTGTATAAGTAGTCCTAGTAGATCAGCCCAATGCATTTATTTGTTTGATACCAAAAGGAGACCATCACCAGGTGGCCAGTTTAATTGAGTCTCTTTAAGCTAGAGACGGCTGGAGCTTTTGCTAGTTTAAAATAGCAGAATAAACTTAATGAAAATTGCCATTTTTAATCCACTCTGTATTATTTTCATTGGATTTAAAAATATGTCAAAATAAAGAAAACTGATTTTCGTAATATTGTTAAGAGTTATTCCTCCGCTGACGGCTAACAATAGCAAGAAATTTGCATAAATAGGTATTTTGGTTTAATCCTAGAAGACACAATTTTAAAGATTATACCATAATTTTATGTGCAGAAAGAAAAACTGACACTAGCCCCGGTTTAACATACTTTTTCGATAAAATGGCCCGTTTCGTCAAAAAAAAAAAAATAAAGTTTATAGGGCAACTTTTAATACAGAATTAACATTATCAAACATGCATTATTCTTTAAACGATCAAGTACTATTTAGTTGTAGTAAATCATTTCCTTAACAAGATCAAGATCAAGATATTAGTTTACATAATTTCTGACTTATCTGTGAAAGAATCGTGGAGAAAATACTCAGTTTTCCTTACAAATTTTTCTTGATTTTGTTGCTGTCTGCTGTTGTAATGATGTGATAATTTTTTGCAGCAAGATGTCTTCTTTTTAACTTGAAATAAATAAAGAAAGAAGATGACTTCATTTTTTATTCTACACAAATATATAAAATATATTAAATTACATTATTTAACGTATAATATTATTTTGCAATTTTTACAATACTTACGACTGTTTTTATTCGTAACTTATGCTATGAGTTCAAGAGAATGAAATTCAAAATTATTTCGGTCTGTACTGGTTAAAACTCAAAAAGATTTTTTCTATATAATTAATATTTAAAAAACTGAGTAAACAGAACCGTTGTGTTTTGTTACTCTCCGGCTTTGATTGATCCGGATTTTATGTTGCTGTCGTTGAATGAAGTAATCATATTTTGTTGTTGTCGTCAACTTTGAGATTTATTACATGATACGAGTTCTCGCATGACGTATTGTGGTGTGGAATATAGATGATTGGCCATGAGCTGACTAAAATTTATTTTCGCGCGCTGTTTTCGATCACCACAATATGTCGCCGTGATGTAGTATCAATCGGCTAAATATAATGTTCGTTTTATTGTATCATGGATATATATTACAAGTTTTTTCTTTTCCACTGCAACGATTTTATAAACAGACTGGGATGAGGTATCCGAATTCTTCTCTGTTAAAATCCTAAATTATTGCAAGGTTATGCGTTTCTGCTTTTAAAATAACTGAATATTATAAAAGGACAAACAAACGAAGCTGCGTGATATTTTATTAACCCTGACATCGGATATTCAAAAATATTTGAACTAAATCAGAGACAATAACAAACGAGGACAAAAAATGTATTCTGTTGTTCGATGAGATGGCAATTAAGAAAACCATCGAATATAATAAAAAATTAGATGTAATTGAAAGGTTTGAATACTTCGAGAACAACAAAAGAAAGTCAATTTTTGCCGGACAAGCTTTACTAATTTAGTAATTTTCCAATGAAAAATTCCAGTAGCTTTTTTTCTAACCCAAAACGGTGTCGATGCTTAATCCTTCGACACTATTATTATTCTTTTTAGATTTCTTCGATGTAAATTGTATTTAATAGGTGATTTAGCTCAAATTGCTGATACTGCGTGAATTAATAAATTGACCAGGACAAATGAAATCAGAGTAGCTTGACCGATACGCGGCCCAAGGTTTACTTTACGATAAAATGAAAAATATTAAAAACTGATAACGACAAAATGTTGAGGGTTACCAAATTTTTGAGTAACTTGAAAAACTTATCTGATTTGATATGTCCTGTTTAATTAAGTCAGTCTCTGGTACTTAAATTTATCTGTATGGATTCTGGCAAATAAAAGAAAGTGAGAAAATTTATTACATTTAATAAAAAAAGGTAAAAGACTGAAATTATACATATAAAAATGAGATAGTTAATAAGTGATTAAATCACATTTCAAATAAAATTGAATGAATGAATAAATAAATATACTGTTAAATACTTCGATAAATATTATTAATTGTGACCATGTGGCATTTTAGTACGGTAGGTACGGTACTTCCCTTTTGTATGTCCGCTTTTAGGTACTTTGATGGTTGGTGCTTCTTGTTTCTTAAAGCTAGGAGCAACTAGGAGCTTCCTACAGCTTATTGGATGATCTTACGTTTCATAGAAGAGCCTGGAGCTTCTTAAGCTTGATAGAAGTGGCTTTTCTTGGGGGCACTACGTAAAGGATCTTCTTGGAGCCACTACTTGGATGATCTTCTTGGAGCCACTACTTGTTTAGAAATAAAAGAACCTCAGTACCGTGTGTAAAAGTACATATACATGCCAGTTTGGAAATCTAACGGATTTATGCATAAACGGGACATATATTAAAGTTTTATCACGACAAATATTAAAGTTACATCATCTGAACAGAATATAAAATGTTTATAAGCCAAAATAAGTTACAACAATAAGTTTTACATTCTTTGAACAGAATACAAGCTATTTATAAGGCAAAATAAGTTGAAAGCCATAAATTTCCGTTTAAACTGTATTTCCAGACTGACTTGTAATTCAATTATTTAGTTGCCTCCCCACGTATATATCAAAGTAATTCAATGATAACATATTTATATTTATATATACAAGAAAGCTTAAAAATATTATTAGTTATAGGGTAGCTATAATCTATGTAAAACAAAATAAAATGAAGCCGTAATAAGAAACCGGCATTCGTCGGCATCGCGGTAATAAAAAAAGGCAAATGGAAGATCTTCTCGGTTTTCCAACAAAATCCAGCAAAATGGAAATAATATAAGGCGATAAAAAGATAGAAATATTACCTGACAGTTATCCCAACGTTCACACTTAATAGACACAAAAAGAGAATTAAAGAATTAAGGAAAACTACTCATAGTAGGCACAATTATCGGTATATCATACATATTGAACTCAATATATCAAAAAGAGTGATTGATTCTAAACGAATCGGTTTTATGACGACGTGAATGCCCAAAGAAACTAGATTTCGTGCGCAAAAGGTGCTTTGTAAAAATCGAAGCAAAGAGAGCAGTTTTGTTGCAAAAGGTTATAGAGAAGTTGTTAAAAATAAATTTGAAATTAATTTAAAATTGATTTTACGTAACAAAAGGTTTAACACATATTCAAAACTCAGGTTTGGAACCTATAGGGAAAATGTGTGATTTATCTACAGTTAACCAAAAAGTCTATAGATCTTTGGGCATTACTGTAGATAACCCTAAATTTACCATAGGAGAAAACAATGACTGCTTTTTTTATGTGCCTGACCTAGTAAAATACGTTCGAAATAAGTTTTTACAAGGTTATTTTATTTTTAATGGAAAATTTATTAGATATGCTGTTGCTGTTAAATAGGTTTTTGAACTGGCCCAACGTAGGAAATCTGGAAAAGCTTTATTAAAAATTACTTTAAAAAACCTTTCCCAAAATGCATTTGAAAAAATGAGAGTAAAGCTCGCTATCCTTTGCTATAAATTTTAAAAATTAATAGTCTGTAGAACTACGTTAAAAACTAATTTTTTCACAGAGAAAACACCAGAACTCACGGCGTCGTGGCAATATCTCAATAACACTATCAGGCAAGAAAATAATAGTGACAGCTATATATAGATCCCCAGATGTCCAAACAATTTGATCAATGTTAGCAATTCCAGCTTGTTTGTATTCCTGTTTAGATAAATAAATTAATAAACATATTGTTATTGAGAGATATCGCTGGTGTCTAATAAGTAAAGAACCAGTCATATTTCACTAAAATGTTTATTGTTTTTATAAAACATTATATTTTCAATGCAATGAATCCATACATTTGTTGTGTGAGCTATCTGTAGTGGAATTTGTTAGCCTTGTCTATAATATAAGGGTTAGGCATACATAATTTTTAAGGCTATGTAAAAGTTTCTTTAAATTTTGATACCGATTTGTTTTTTTTTTTTGGTGTCATTGACATCGACTACTAAGGCCGTTAGCCTCGTGTTCTGTGTAGGCTTTGTTACTGTTTTCGAGCGCTGTTAATTAGAACCCAACAGTAAATGATCGAGTGGGGAATCCTACCAAGGCATCAGAATTAATTTTAAATAATTAAATTAAATAAAAAATATCCCGGCTAACGGTGAGATTCGAACCTGGAACCCTTGGATCCACAGGCAGAGACTCTACCACTGAGCCACCCACCTCTCAATACCGCTTTGTTGTTTTCAAAATAGTTTTTAAATAAGCGGAAAACCAGGAAGCAGAAGATTTAATAATACGTACAGTTCCTAATGGATAGTAACATACGTCTAGGCATAGACGTAGAATTTTGTAAAAAAGAAAGAAACAACTATGAGAGTGTATCTGATATTATTACAAATATACCTTTAAAACATTAAAATAATTTTTTTTTCAGAATGCTGACTTATTAGCAAGTGTTTACGAAGATGCGCAAGATGTAGAATTGATAATTGGTGCTACGTTGGAAACGGCTAAACCACATTCTGTGCTGGGTCCTACAGCGGAGTGCTTGTTTTTGGAGGCTCTCGAACGTATACAAAAATGCGATAGATACTGGTGGGATAATAATCAAAACCATTTTACGGATCCTCAACTGGAATCAATACGATCAATGACTGTGGCTTCGCTCCTTTGTTTGGCTGGCGATAATATAAGAAATATGCAGAGATACGCCACGAAACCTATTCATCCTATCGAGTAAGTATGAAATTCTGAGTAAACAACTAATACATTGCAAAGAAAAATTAATAAAGCTAGTAAAAAGCATTGGCCAAAGATCGAACATGGAACCTGAGTTGAGGACTTGACTCCTCTACTAATTGGACGACCTAGACAGTCAAACTTACAAATTTCACTGTCATTTCTATATGGTATTAACTCTTCTTAGTTTTGAAGCTGATTTTATTATAAAGATACTCTTTTGTCGGTTGAAGGCATGATGAACTCTAGTCATGCTATACGAAAGAGTAAAAGTTAAATTAAAAAAAAATGTCAATGTCAATGTCAAGTTTTCAGTAGTTATTTAATTACTCTATTCCTAAATATCTACCCAATCTCTTTAAGTTTACACCTTCTAAGCAAATAATAAATCCTACAAATCCGCATTTGGCAAACAATGTTCTGCAAATTCAATGGATACCAACAAATGTTTATTGTTCTTCAAAGCTAGATGAAAGAACAACAGAACAAAAGTTGTTGTTATTACATGTAGATCTAGATTCCCTTAGAATCTTCTTTTTTCTCAACCAATCATTAGTACTCTTTTTTTAGAAGTGGACAGATATTCAAAAGACACCAAGCAGCCCATACTGCAAGGTAGTGTCCGATTTTCACAGACTGAAAAACCACTCCCTGTGTTATCTTGAGGCATAGTGGAACCACCGTCAGGCATTACTTCACTATGCGCCATCTTGTGTTATCTTTTATCCTTTCTTTCTTTTTTTTATTGTCTTTGATCAGCCCTCTTTGTTTTACCTCTAACTCTTTCTCCTTTAATATCCTACCAATCATTTCGGATTTTTATCTGATATCACGGTTTGAATAATATTTTCTTTTATTTGAGATTCGATGCTACTTTAGACTTGTCTTCTTTTGTCCTCCCATTTCTGACATTGGAAAACTGTGTGTTCAGTCGTGTGCATCTCTTGGCAATACATGCTATCATATGTATCTGTTATTTTAATTTTAAAGAAATATTCTATAAAACACCCATGGCCAGGTAAGAATTGGGTCAAGTGCTAGTTGACTTGTCCAATATCCCTCCTTACCCACATGGTTAGATCAGGGATCAGGATTCGTGTCCATCTACTTTTCTGGCTACTTCTCCATTGTTCTTGCCATATTTGCAGTGTCCTTCCTCTGGCTTTCGTTTTCTCTATGTCATTTTTACCAATTATTTCGCGTCTCTCTAGTGCTAGCAATTTTATGGGTGTTATTCCGGATATTACTAGGCTACATTCTGTAAATATTGTCTTGTAACCATTACAAATTCTCACCGCCAGAATATGCAGTGTGCTGTCAATTAATTGACTGAGATACTGCTACGAGTATTTTGCCTTTTATTTTACTAACTTCCCTTCTTTAGGTATTATTTGAGTCAGCGCTGCTAATGATTGCTTACATTTAGCTGTAACTTGTTCTTAGTGTTGTCTAAAGTTTAAGTTCAGGTCCCTCGTAACGCCTAGATAGTTAACACTTTTTTTTTGATACAATCTGGACCAGTGTTGCCATAGCATATTTTTGCTATGTACCAGATTTGTCTAAAAAATGTACTAAATTGCTTAAAAATGTACCAGATTCTATAAATTGTACCTGATATTTCAAATTGTGATGGTTTGGTTCAATAAAGAGCAAAACAAAAGCGGAAATCTAACGTACGTTTGCTAAAACTCTCTAATATATTTTACACGTCAAATGGAAACATACGTGAAAACCAAAATTGTACTAGATTTTGCTTCGTGTGCACTGGAGTACCAGATTCTTAGATAATGTACTAGATCGAGTACAATTGTACTAGACTTGCAACACTGATCTGAACCCCTTCTAATTGGAAACTAATTGGTGTTTTTATTTTTTTCTTTCCAATCAACAGCACTACCCAAGTCTTTTGAGGTGCCAAATGCAGGTCATGGTCTTTTAGCCACCTACTTATCATTTTTAGTACGTCATTGGTAGTTTCCATTAGTTCTTTTTCAGTTTTTCTTATGACCACCTCAAATGCTACCTGCTCTGTCTGTTCTGGAGTTTTGATTTTTAGTATTCTATCACACATGATATTTTAAAGCAGAACCAAACTCTGCATTACTCCTCCGGCTATTTTATATTCCACAAAGACCTTATCTATAATATAGCGGTTTGTAAAGTAGCTTGCTATTATTGTGAGAGTATACTTTGTTATTTTCCGTCTTCTTAGTTCTTTCATTATATACTTCCATGAGACTATATTGAAGGCATTATTGATGTTTATAGTTACTAGTACACAAAATTATTTAGTTCTTTGGTTCTTTCCCATTTCCAATTCTGCTATTTTTTAAACCTTTCTTATAGCGTCAACGGTAGATCGTTTCTTTCTAAAACCAAACTGTCTAACTGACAGATTTTCCAGCTCCAACCTTAATCTTTTCGCCACTATATGTTTCAGGAGGTTTCCCATTGTATCCAGTAGACATGGTGGGCGATAGGAACTCGGATTTTCTTCGATCTTTCCAGATTTCTGAATTAGCACTAACCGTTCTTTTTTCCATACATCAGGGAAGACGCCTTCTTCGAGGATGTCATTAAGTATCTTCGCTATCTCTAGAGGGAATTGAACGGTTATCATTTTAACTATTTCCGAGGGTATCCCGTCTGGTCCAGGAGCTTTATTGTTCTTAAGCTTATGGGGTACGATTTTTTCTTCTTCTTCTTGTTCTTCTTCTTCTTCTTCTTCTTCTTCTTCTTCTTCTTCTTCTTCTTCTTCTTCTTCTTCTTCTTCTTCTTCTTCTTCTTCTTCTTCTTCTTCTTGTTCTTCTTCTTCTTCTTCTTCTTCTTCTTCTTCTTCTTCTTCTTCTCTCCTATGTTATTAATATGTTTCTCTTCTCCTCGTTCTGGAGGCCATGTCATATATCCTTGCTTTGGAAATAGAATACGTATTGCTTCTTTTCTGATTTCCTCTGGAATGTTAGACTGATTCGGCTTTATTTTTCTCATCTTTATTTTGTATGCCTTTCCCCATACATCATCTTCTACATTTTCACAAAGTTTTTCCCATGCTTTCCGTTTACTTCCAATAATGTTGGTCTTAAGTCTCTTACTGGCCTCTTTAAGTTCGTTTTCTTTTAAATTTATATATGTGATAGATATTTTCTGTTTTCTTCCTCTCGTTATTTGTCCCCTTATTTTGGTACATGTCATCCTCTGTTGGGCGATTTCTTCTGACCATCAGTACATCTTTTGTTGATGTGAGTTCTGATGTCTCTTTGGCATCAATCAATGCGTCACATGCTTTTCTTAGTATATTCATAAGTTCATTGGGGCTTGTTTTTTGTTCTTTTTTCAGCTTCTGCCGTATCGTTTCTTTGAGGGAGTCTTGATTTACCTCTCTGATATTCCAGACTTTTGTGTTCTGTTCTTTTTTTCTGGTTTTGATTTTCCTAGTGCGTATTTTATATACTGGTGGAGGCTTCAGGAATCCTCATCAAGTACTTCCCATTTGTTTATTTTTATGCTTAAAGTTATGTCTATTATTGATTCTTTTTCGTTTCTTATGAAAGTTGGTTTATTTCCTCTTCCAAACGTAGTGATGAAATTTTACTAACCAGACTAAGTTTGGTTCATACTTAACTTATTTACAGTTGTTTATTTAGTTCTAAGATAGAACCGAAATGTAGTCATCAAACTGTCTGTCAAATATTTGCACCTTAACGTGTTTGAGTAATTTTTCCACTGATCCAGTAGTAAATATTTTATGCCCTAGGTGTTATATAAAAAAAATATTCTTTTTAAGTATCAATTTAGTAACGTTTGTGAATCAGGTGTTATTTACATTAATAAATTATTTCGTTACAGCTATTATAAATTTCCCAAGTGAATGGATCTCTAAATATCCACTATAGAGTGGTGCCAATAACCAATTTGTATTAACATGTAGTCTCTATTTTAAAAATCTATCATCAATATACGTACCTATATTTGCAAGTATTAAAATGTTTTTTTTTTGTTTTAGTAATCCAATCGTAAGCTGTGCAGACCAACCTCCCATGTCTATGGAAGCTTTTAGAGAAACTACTGTTCTGCATTCTATGAAATCGTTTTTTGAAAATTTCTTTAGCAGAACAAAAAAAAATTGAATATATATAAAATATGTATATAAAAATTGTAAATCTAAAAGAAAGGTAGTAATTGTTATATATTTAATTAGCTAGAGTAGAACCAGATTTGCTGAAAGCACTGCCTGTTCCTTTTCTGTTAAATATATTTTTTTCGTTTGTTTATAATGCTTTTAAAAATACATTCAAAATGAAAATATTTTATAACGGATAATAACAAACTTTATAATTTTTTATCACCATGTATGTATTTTTGTGATACTAGGTATTTTAATAAATTTTTTGTTTTAATATTTTGTAGTTTCCTATACATTACTATAAATCTATGGTGGTCATTGCTACTGATCAATCAAATGCGCAAACTAAATCGGATATCATAAAATATAGATCCTCTTAATTTTATTATACAGGTATTCCATGTGAAACAAATTAAAGATGGAGGAATTTTGATTGGATCCAAAAATCAGGAGAGTGCCAATTATTTTAGAAATATGGCTAAACTATCTTCTCAGTATGGAATTTCCCCAGCAAAAATATTTGTAACAAAAATTAGAACTGTTGGTTTGATCTTCGAGCATATATATTTCATAGAGTCCGCATTCAATAGGGTTATGAAGGGAAAAATGCCTAGACACTATTACCAGTGTCACATCATTTTTACGGGGTTTGCAATTAATTTGGAGTGAGGGTAGCCATATGTGAGTAGTAGGGATTAAGTGTAAGGGTTAAAGAAAAGGTCCTTTATTTCTCACAAGTCAATTTAATTGGCGACCGGTTTCGAAGTTGTCACTTCATCATCAGGCACACCTAAATGGAATGTCAAGGAGTCAGTTGTAATAAAAACAATTATAAAAGCATGAACGGACTTTAACATATACAAAATAACAGAAAAAACACAAAAGAAAGTTAAACAATAACATTGGCTCACCTTGACTAATTCCATAAAGGAAGCGCTACAAAAAGTTTAACAGAACGAGTTAAAAAAGTCATGTGTAATAAGTATTTTTTAAAAAATTTTTATGTAGGTTAGGTTAAACCACCAGATGTCTGTTTGAATAAAATAATTAATTTAAACACATTTAAGACAATTATTAACTAAACAACACAAAATAGTTTTACAAGCACAAACAGTTTAAAAATTTTTTTAAGGATATAATGTTAATTACTGAAAATAAAAAGTAAAAAAGTAAAAATTATCAGACTCAAGACATCTATCTAGATTTTTTTAACGAATCAATGAAGTAAACTGTAAATTTTAAATTAGCGGATAAATAGTGTACTAACGAAGGTGTTATTTACTGAAAGTGAGTATAGGTGGCGGTGACAAAATTTATTGAAAGTTAAATATATTAAACTGAGAATGAGAAAGCAAAAAAAATTTATATTAACAAGAAAATTAGAACACTAAACAAGAAAATATGAAAATTTATATGTAAAAGGGAAAATTTGAAGCAGATAATCAAAAGAAAAATTACTGTTACAGGAAACGGAAACTAGGTTGACAGTACCAATGTCAAAAAAGAGAAAAGTCAAATTTTGGCGTATGACAACCACGTGGGAGAATTTGAGCTTAAATTTTTAAACTGTTTGTGCTTGTTAAACTATTTTGTGTTGTTTAGTTAATAATTGTCTTAAATGTGTTTTAATTAATTATTTTATTCAAACAGACATCTGGTGGTTTAACCTAACCTACATAAAAATTTTTTAAAAAATACTTATTACACATGACTTTTTTAACTCGTTCTGTTAAACTTTTTGTAGCGCTTCCTTTATGGAATTAGTCAAGGTGAGTCAATGTTATTGTTTAACTTTCTTTTGTGTTTTTTCTGTTATTTTGTATATGTTAAAGTCCGTTCATGCTTTTATAATTGTTTTTATTACAACTGACTCCTTGACATTCCATTTAGGTGTGCCTGATGATGAAGTGACAACTTCGAAACCGGTCGCCAATTAAATTGACTTGTGAGAAATAAAGGACCTTTTCTTTAACCCTTACACTTAAATTGCAATTCATATAAATAATAAAATTGATAGATACCTTTAAAATTCTTTAAATTATGCACATATTTTATAAACTTACCATGCTGTGAAAAAAAATTATTCGTCACCTTTAATTCGAGATCCAACAAAACTCTAACAAAAATGCTGTGGAAGCAGTTTGCTTGCTGTCCAATATGAAGTCTTCGAAATTTTTGGTCAGTTTGATAATATAAAAAAAATACTAACTATGATAAATATTTTAAGCAAACAATTGCAGTCAGAAAATGGAACTTTGGCGGAATCTACAAATATAATTAATGGAACTATACAATCGTTGGAGCAAAAACGTGACGAAAACGTTTTTGCACGACTGTGGCTAGATATAGAAGACTTGACCAAGAAAAATGACATAGGCCTTGTAACGAAGTTACTTTTATTTAATTATTTGTAAAAAAAAACAGAATCCGTCGAAAAAAAATCGAATTTAGCATTTTTTTAAATATACCGAAGTTACTTTAATCGAATTACTTGAAAAACATAGAATCCATCGAATTTAACATCGTTTTTAAATTACTTGCCATTGGATCCTTATATTAAGAACGTCGCAATTCGATCAAAGTATATTAACCATTGAGTAGCGACAGCTGTGGAACCGAATTCTAGTGCGCCGACGCGAAATAGAGAGGCGAAACGTTTTCTAAAGATGTAAACAACCCCTTTCACTTTAGTGCGGCAGCTGATATAGGAATTCGTTGTCATGCTCTTTTATTGTGTTTTTGTTAAGATCTTTTGGGATTTTGTGAGTTTTTTATTATGCCAGGAAATGCATGTGCTTATCGACCTTGCTCGACAAGATCTGGTGATAACAAATTACTGTTTTCATTTCCAGAAGAATATGAAAGGTAAGTACCTTGAATTACACACTATATTTGATATTTAACAAATAATAATCTTATTTTTATTGGAACTTATTTCTGAAAATTTGATGTGATAAGGCCTCTTTCGTATATTTCCTATAAAATCTACAGAATATACAGCATATGTACCAGGTATAACAATTATTATAAATGGGTTTTTTTCGAGGATTTCTTGTTTAGAAAAGGGTTCGTTTTATACCTGTCTAACTATATGGACCTATTGTTAGGTACAATATTTAAATATTTTAAAAGTATTTTCCTAAATAATTTAACCTTAATTTAACTCTATAAATCATAAATTGGCCCTGCTTACATTCCTTCTGCATATTTCATGTTGATACTAATATACCTAACTCTTCAAAACTTATATATCTGGAATTTCAAGTCTCTAAATACTCATAAATATAAAACTGCCTAATGACCAAACCTTTATTATAAATGTAAACTACAAAAGATTTTTACTACGTCGAGCAGTGTAAACATCACATTCAAGACCAGTTTATAATTCGAGCAGTATTTTAGTGTGTCCTTCCGTCAATAACGTCAAAAGAGAGAGAAAGAAAATTTGCACCACCCAGGATCAAAGGCACCGACGCTTTATGTCGCTACTAAACGGTTAATATACTTTGATTCGATTTTCAAGCGAATTCTGTGTTTGAAACCCCTTTAGTCATCTATAAATGTTGTGAGTGGGCGGCCGACCACGGTTGCTATGACAACACTTCTACGCGCGTTGCGACCTATAAAAGCAGCAAGCAAAGCGAGAAGCAGTTCGACACGCCAGACCACGCAAAGTTGTGGACTACGGCGGCGAGTGACTGACCTTGGGTGCAAAATTCAAGAGTCTCATAGATTTAAGATTTTCTTTCAGCGTTCTCTTTCAGCATTTTCTTTCAGAATTCCAGACAAAGCGCAGCACGCGATTCAGACAAGGACTTAGCAACTAACGACTAACCACCTGGGGACGAAGGTCCCCCCAGTCGCCAAGCAGGAGTCTGGGGGAGCTTTCACAGGTGGAGACATTTACAGAACGGCACACACATGACAAATAAACGGACGACAAAACAAGGAAATGCCATCAGCAAACCCTGTCCAAATTGCTGATAATATGTCACCCTTAACAGCCCTTTCAGAAGGAATGGCATACTAATCAAAAGATGTAAACTGAGGCCACCTGAAATCAAGCAGTCAGGTGGGGAGGTGGTCGTCAGGAGGATTCCGATCCAGTATAACAGGATGGGAACCTTCCCGACTTGGGCTCAATTACTGTGTGTGTGGAGAAGCAGTTCAGTTTTCGTCGACAGTCAGTCCGGTAAACATCTAGAAAAGCTCTCCGAATCCCGTTGCCCCGACCGTGCTCAGGTAGGAAATTTGCTTTATCGGCTGTGTTTATTGTGTTTGCCTAGTTCTGATTTTTTTTTAGTATTCCGTTTCATGTTGTATCAAAATTTCGGGGTTTTCTTTTCCGAAAAAGTTATATGCATTCCTATTTTTCCTATAAAACAGGTTTAAAATTAATTGGTGCCAGAACAAGAATAAATTTCGTATTACTTTTAAGTAGAGTCAGTAATTTTGGATATTGTGTTAGGGTAGTTTCCGATTATTATTAGTATTATTTGGGTTAATTTCCGATTATAATTAGTATCATTTGAAGTAGCTTTCGCTTTATTTTCAAAAAGAATTTTAGAATAATATCTGAATCTAGAGACGGCCTGCGTTGAGTGGTTCACAAGGGCCTATCTAGCATTTTGGCTATTGCTTTGGGGTAGTTTCCGCTTGTTGGGGTAGATTTCGCTTTATTTTCAAAAATAATTTTTGAATAATATCTGAATCTAGAGACTGCCTGCGTTGAGTGGTTCACAAGGGCTTATCTAGCATTTTGGCTATTGCTTTGGGGTAGTTTCCGCTTGTTGGGGTAGATTTCGCTTTATTTTCAAAAATAATTTTTGAATAATATCTGAATCTAGAGACTGCCTGCGTTGAGTGGTTCACAAGGGCTTATCTAGCATTTTGGATATTGCTTTGGGATAGTTTCCGCTTGTTGGGGTAGCTTTCGCTTTATTTTCAAAAAGAATTTTAGAATAATATCTGAATCTAGAGACTGCCTGCGTTGAGTGGTTCACAAGGGCTTATCTAGCATTTTGGATATTGCTTTGGGATAGTTTCCGCTTGTTGGGGTAGCTTTCGCTTTATTTTCAAAAAGAATTTTAGAATAATATCTGAATCTAGAGACGGCCTGCGTTGAGTGGTTCACAAGGGCTTATCTAGCATTTTGGATATTGCTTTGGGGTAGTTTCTGCTTGTTGAGGTAGCTTTCACTTTATTTTCAAAAAGAATTTTAGAATAATATCTGAATCTAGAGACTGCCTGCGTTGAGTGGTTTACAAGGGCTTATC